CACACACACACACACACACACACACACACACACACACACACACACACAGATTAACGGTGTCCCCCTCAATTTTTTCAAGTGCCGCTCATAAGACAGTTAACTAAGAAACTCTCCAAAAGCTACCTTGAACTTTATATAGAGTTATATTTTTGTACACACACACACACACTTATTATCAAGGGAACTGCTTGAGCAATGGGCTTCACCCACAGCACTGTTCAATGGCAGAAATCACACTTACCTCCCCCAAATCCTCACATTATCTTTCCCTTCCTTAGGGGGGAAAATGTCTTTCTTGCCCTATAAGAAATCTCAATTTTGACTCCCCAGGGTGTCACTTCCTTTTGAATTATGCTAGCAGGACCAAAAAAAAAAAAAAAAAAAAATCAAATGTCCTTTTGTACCCTGTAAAGCAATCGTAGACCCTGTCATTCTCCACCCCGCCCCATCTCACTTAGGTAATTTATACATTGGATCTCAGTGAAAGGCAGCACCTCCCCATCTGATTTGCACTGGAAAGACAGCATCTGCAGCTTTGACCTTGGTCCTTGTAAATAAGGAAACTGAATTCCCCATCCGGGAGAGAACAAACCACTTTATCTTCTGGATAAATGAGTTGGTCCTTTGCCTGTTGCGAACACGACTTTCTCTTGGGGGAGTCGGCCCGTGGAGCAGTTGTTCTAAATCACTGAAAAGCATCTGCATGGTAAATCTCGAGTTTTTCTTCCACTTTTCCCATTCTTGCATGCTTTTGAGGGGCAGCAATAAAACTGGTGACTGTAGCAGCCAGGTACCAGTAGCCAAGTCCTTGCTAAATCTCTTTAGCAATTAGCTAAACCCCGGGCAGTTAGAGGAACGAACAAAACGGAGTAGGAATACACTACGGTATTTCTTGGGACACAAGACGGAATGGTATGTCAAAGAGGAGCCACCAAGCAGGACTAGTGCTAGAAGCTCTTACCCCAACCCCAAAGCACGAAGGACAAGGAAAAGAGGAGGTCGGGGAAACTGTCTGAGCACCCTCACCAGACTGATGGGCACACCACGCCCACTCTCAGTCTAAATGCTGCAGAATAGTTCACGCTAGTGCCTGCAGAATTCAAACAGGAAACTTGGGGGAAGGGATCTGAGAAATAAAGCAATATGTTAGTAAATTGTACAGCAATGTGTGGCCAAGCAGACACTTGGGTTCACAATCATGAGACCTCTGTTCCAAACAGAAGAAAAACCTTCTGTGTGGGAAAGACTTCAGACCTCTGCGCACTCCTAAGACTTCTTACTGCAAAAGAGAAGTGCTTCAAAAGGGGATGAGGGAGGTGATGTTAAATTACTAGAGACCTGTGCTCGCTCAGCAGCAGGACTGAGCTCAGCCTTTGGTCTCAAGGCAGTGTCCCGGGAGCAACCATCCCTGTGATGGGAAAGGCCCTTGGATCAGGAAGAGCCATAGCCCTGATCAGAGTGCCAAAAGATGTCCCATACTATCCTAAGCCCCATAGCATCATTTGCTAAAGGCTACCAAGCCACAGGAACCACACTCTACATTTTAAAATAGTATCACATGCAATAAAAAAATAAAATAAAATAAAATAAACTATGGGACAGAGGGCAGCGTGTCTCCCTGGCGCCTGTACCACCTGTGTGTCCTCCAGCCTTTTCTCTGGAAGGAAAATGGTGTGAGGACCTAAGTATAGAAAATAAGATTTGTTCTAAAAATGTATTTATTTATTCACTTTGATATGAGTATGTGTGCACCCAGGAGCTAGAGTTAGCCACCCGACATGGGTGCTGGGATCTGAACCTGGGGTCCTCTGTAAGAGCAAAAACCATGTCTTCTAAAGCGAGGTGTGTTAAGGGGACAGTTTGCTTGACTTTTGGAGTTCCACTATAAATAATAAGAGCCTGGTAAGGTGTGAGTGAGATCTAAGGAGGGAGAAATGGGCAATGGGGAAAATGCTTATAGATATAAGAAGACAGCGAGGGTAAGAAATGCAGTGCCAGAATGTACCTTAAGAAAAAGAGTAAGAAATGTGTGTGGTATACTATGATGAGGCACAACTTCCTTCTGGTGAAGGACTGTGTTCACATACCTGTGCCAAAGAGTTTAAGCCAGTAATACCCACTTCACAGATGGGGAAACTGAGGCTTAGGAAGCTAGTAATTTATTCAATCACTCCCTTATGGAAATAGTGAACCAAAATTTGATCTCAAATAGCTTTTTGTTTATTTATTTTTGTTCCTGTTATGAATAAAAAATCTAAATCTAAAATGAGTGAATTATATACGACAAAAGTGGAGATAAAAATGAAAGCAAGAAAGGAGAAATTACAGACAATTTGTAGAGGTTAATTGCCTACAGATTCTTGCTTTTTAGATATAATTAACAGATATCCTGAAACAAATATATCATTACTGGCTAAAATCTGCGATAAATATAAACCTTTGTTTGGAAGGACAGAGAAGTCCTTGGTATAACCTGATACAAAGATGTTTACAGGGTTTGCAGGGTGTGTATGAGCCCTTGTGGGCCATGTGTTAGAGGTGGGTGGTTGTCTTTGCACAAATGATAGAGAAAGTGTTTCAGAGACAAAAACCCAGGCCAAAGACTGCTCTGCACTCAGCCATCCTAGAAGCTGACTATTAAGACCAGACTCTTAGCTCACTTATTTTCGCTCTTATTTCTGGAGAGTGAAAGCAAGAAGCTCAGACTCTTCTACTCTGTTGATTCCTCCGGTGTAATTGTGTGAGATGCGGCAGAAAATGGAGCCTCTCGAGATCCTGAGTCAGACATCGGTGAGAATGGAACAAACAACCACCAACGGACCATGAAAATATTAGTCTTGGGGTGACCTCAGCTTTAACCCATAAGTTTAAGGGAAGGAAATGAATCCTCAATTAAAACATTGACAAGCAAGGGAAAATTCTCTCCTGAGTCCAGTATTAAGGACCTCACCGCGACTTAACTGAGTATCTGAATGCTCTTTGGGTTATCCAGAGTTTCTCCTCTTTGAACTCACTACTCTTGAATGATTTTTATGATTTTACTTTTTCTCCCCCCCCTTTTTTTTTGTTTCTTTGTTTAGCTATTTGGTTGTTTTTTTTTTTTTTCTAATCTTGTGAGACAAGGATTTACTATATAACCCAGGCTAGCCTCAAACTTACGATCCTCTTGCCTCTACTGCTTTTATTCTGGACTAATAGAGGTACGTCCACCGTCACTTCTGACTGCCCTCTCATCTTTATGCCTATCCCCCTAAGTTTTTCTCACACTGCAGAATTGCAGATATCTCTCTCTCTCTCTATGAGGGGTGGCCCCAGTCAGATGGACTGTTCCTCAAATTTCTCAGCTTCTCTAAATTAAAGTTTTAGAAGCTCAGTGTCATCTGGTTTGCTTTGTTAATTGCGTTTTGACTGCCAAATTAATGAGCATCATTAACCTGATGCCAGCACCTCCTCTGTTTCATCATGCGCTGTGCATATTAAAATGACCTTGTGTACTTTTGTCTCCCAATAGACTCTAAGCTACTTGAGTAGGTATCTTGTCTTGGTCATATCAACATCATTAGCACCTGCTTCCTGCCAGCCCATTAGAGATTATTAATTAGTATTGTTCAGAAAAGAGGTCGTGCCATATGATACAATGTGAATAACACCTTGAATCAAGTTATCTAAGATCAGGTCTTAATCCCACCACTGCAGGAGCTCAGATGACTGACTGGATGCCTCTGTTTCCTCTGATGGAGAACAGGGACAATACATCCTTTATAGAATTACCGAAGGAATCCAGTTAGCAAATACAGCATGTTTATAACCGTGTGCTGACTTCATTACAAGTCGTTATTTGGTCCCCGTGTGTTAGATGACATTATTGCTAGCTTTTGTCAAATCGGAAGAATGTGCAGCTCTTTGCTGGCTGTAAGCTAACTCGTGGTCTTTAGACTCGAGGTTGGGTGGGAGTGATTGCCTGTCCCCCCCTGCACTGACTTTCTAGCTCCTGCCCAAAGTTCAGACAGACGTAGGGAAGGATGGGAAGGTCTGATGGAGGTCGGACACAGTGAGTTCAAAGACTGACGTTTAGGTGCAGAAGGCAGCCTCACCTTGTGGAACTGCGGGGGGTAGATGCGCGCCGCCCCGTGGTTCAGCAGCAGCTGGTAACAGATCTCGGGCTGGGCCGCGGGGCGCACGGAGGTGACCTTCAGCACGTACTGGATGGCTGCGCAGCCGTTGATATCCATGAGGTTGGCCTCGGCGCCGGCCTCCAACATCATGTGCATGAGCACGTGGTCGCAATTCCAGGCGGCCTTGTGCAGCGGGGACTTGAAGTCATCGTCGCGGGCGTTGACCTCAGCGTTGTTGTCCAGCAGCATGCGGCAGATGAGGTGGTGCTCCCTGCTGTACTCCTGCTCCTTGAAGCGCAGGGCCCAGTAGGTGGCGATGGCCAGCGGGGTCTCCATGTGGGCGTTCATGCTATCCACGACGGCCCCGTGCTCCATGTAGAAGGACACCAGCTCAGAGAGGCCGAAGTGGGCAGCCGTGTGCAGAGGGGTCTCCTCATCCTGGTTGTTGGTTTTCAGGTTCACATTTGCACCTATGAAGGGAAATGGAAGCAGACAGATTATTTAAACACCCGTCCTTCATGTGTACAACTTCCTTCGTGAAGTTCTCCGAGCAGGACTCTTTCAGGAGGGTTCCCTTTAACCTCTGCCTGTCATTCATGACTCCCACCCAGCCGTAAAGGGCCATTTCTGGAGCCAATGTAAAAAATCACTCCTTAAGCCAACACTGCTAGCTTCCTGACTGCTAACAAAGGAGCTTGCTATCAAAGCCTGACTACTTGAGTTTGCTATCTGGGACCCACACGGTGGAAGGCGAGAAACAACCTTGTGGCCCTGTGAGTTCCATGCGCATGTGCACACACACACAAATAATAATAGACAATACAGGAAATTTTCATAGCACTTCAAACATAAGTCCAAAGAGGCCGTTGCTACTGTTGCTGTTATCATTATCGGTGGTGGCTGTGTTATGTATATTGCTCTAATATAATACTGATTTGGAATTGAACCATGTGCAGCTTTGTGGCCTAGCGCATGTCATACCCTACTTCATGGAATCCTCCCACCAACAAGGCAGTAGATGAGGTTTTTACTCTGATTTTACAGCTGGAGAAAGTTATCCTTGGTTTAACACTTTGCACAGAGTATGCCAAGCTAGTGAGTTTGCAAGCAGAAATAGGCAATCAGACAGGCTCGTTTGAAGAATCCCTTATCATTATGCTATTCTACCTTGTTATTATTTTCCCCCCCGCAGGAATTTTATATTGCTTGCTAAATGAAAACCAGATGTAGTAGAAATGCCATTGCATTTTATACATTTAAAAATGGCTTTCCCCCATGGATAAGTCCTTCTTGGTCTTACTTACAGCATCCTCTGATTATCCAGGATATATTTAAAGAAGGAAACTCTCCCACAAGGAGTGTCTGGTTAAGAAATCAACCCTCCAGTGAGGTTTCTCCAAACTATGGCTTAGCAGACACTAGGCTCTTCTCACTTCCAGGAGGCATAACTGTAGTCAAAGCCATCCTTGCTGAGCCCGTGTTCATCAGTATTCTGACCCGGAAGGGTTCTGGGTGAGGGCTCCTTTCTAGTCAGGTCTCTGCCCCGAGGGTGAAATGGAATGAATACAAATGTCTTCCCGGAAGCCTTGTGCAGGGTCACTTCAGCCACAGGAGAATTTCCAGTAAGAAAGAGAATCAAAGAGTCAGGATGAAATTTTCAGAGGCCAACTTAGATCGAACCACAGCCTTTGTTTTTTAATGGACTTGGACGTTTACTCTTGATCCTTGACCTCCTGGGATAACTGAATGCATGGTAGATTCGTCTTTTCTGTGCTGGAACTTTTCATTTTTATACTTGAACTGTGTCTCCGGCAAGAAGTTTCCGAAAGAGTATATGATGCTTTTTTTATTTTAGATTTTTTTATTATTATTATTTCTTCAAGAAATTGGAGCCCAGACGTCCAATGTTAGGCATACTTTCACCACTACTTTTTTAACAGGAAGATACAACGTATTAGTGTTCAGCAACTTCCATAATAAAACTTAAAACAGGAGAAGCAAATGTGCCTGCAGCCATGGAGACGACAGTCTGAAATCATGCTGTCTACAGGGCCAGTTTTCTCTGGAGGCTCATCTCAGCTTCTGGTGCTGGCTGCTGAGCCTTGATGGCCCTTTGCTTGTAGAAGCATCATGTCGGTCTTGACACCTGTCTCCACATGGCAGTGTGTGTGTGTGTGTGTTCATAAAGAAGAACCCTACACATAGCTCAATGGGCTCATCCCTCTGCAGAATAGCTTCCTTGTTATCCCAGTGGTGTTATCTGTGGTAACTGTTTCCAAGCACATTCACTGGCTTGTAGAAATTTTGGCTTCTAAGCATTGTTTGTTTCTTTGTTTGTTTGTGGAGTAAAGGAGGAAGTCAACTCAAGCTCCAAATATAACAAATGCAAATGATACACAAAAATATAACCACACACAACATTATTGTATCATATTCCAGTTAAGCAAACCCCACTCCTCACTCCCCCACAGTGTTTTTACTTATGTAGCCCAGGCTGGGCTCTAACTCACAAAGATCAGCCTGCCTCTCCCTCCTGAGTTCTGGGATTAAAGGCATGCACCACCATGCCTTGGTGTGAAAACAAACATTTCTTGATAGGAAAGAACCTCCCCACCCCTGCACCCTTCTTACTCTCTTCCCAATTAGAACTTTATCCAGCCATAGGTGATGCTAGCCACTTCATAAACCTGTTCAGATAGGCAAGTGTTTTCCTTTTCTTTTAGTCTTCCCACTTGTGTGTAGAACTCTGAACCAGACCATTTGGTCTTCTTTTCTAAGTTTGAACAGAAGAACCGTAAGAGACTATTGCTCTGTTTTGCTTCCTTTACTTGACACTGGGTTGTGACGTTTGCTACTCTGTTCTTTTTGCTGGCTCGGTCTCTCATCATTGTAAGTTGTCCACAGTTTGTCCTTTCTGTCAGTGATAGACATGGAATGTGTACTTCAAGTGCTCCCATGTAGGAGTTCCTCGGGCTTCTGGTGCTATGAAAGGAGCAGCTGCACCACTGAGTCTACATTCCTTCAGTATCGTTAAATGGAGTGAAGACGTGCTGCTGGACCAGCTTGTATGTCAGTAACTCATGAGTGGGGCTCTCATTAAGTCACACCCTCATCAGTAACGACACTGCCTCCGGTTAATCTCAATCAGCCTGGTACAATGATAGCTCATTGCATTTTAACATTTTCCCCTAGATACTAAAATCGTAAGTTTGATGTGGTATAATACTTGCATTCCTTTTAAAATTTGCCATTGCAATCATTTCTATGCAGTAAACTGTGATTTTAAAAACCGTTTAAAAATAACTAAATAATAGTCTATGGGGTAAATGTGTCTTACTATTAGGCATATAAGATTCTTTTTTTTTTTTTTTTCAAAATTTTGATTTTATAACTAATACTTCAACTAATAAGTGGGTGTAAACTTTAGTATTGTGTCTGTGGAATAAATTCCAGAAAATAGAATTATAAAGCAAAGGCATCCAATGTGTTCGGTGTCTTTATGATTTATGTTCACATTTACCCCATTGATGTAGTGGACTAGTGATTTCAGCTATCTGTGTTACATATTTTTAAAATTTTTATGCTAATTGATGAGGTTAAAAATTTTCATTTCTTAAAAATTTAAATGTATTTAGCTAGATAAATTTACATTTATTAGCGTGTGAGTCATCAACTGGCATGGCTGATGAATAGCCGTGAAACCTACCAGTCACACCCTTAAAGGAGACTGACTCTTCCTCTCCTTGCAGCTAGCTCTCAGCTGTTAGTAGCTCTCCAGTTTTCTTAATGGCTAAGCTCTCCCTTCCCTGGGAGAGTCCCAGAGGCTATAGGCCTCTATGGCTCCTTCTGTGGGCCACTGCTACCGCTCCAGGCCCTGGGAGCCAATTTCACCCAGTGTCCACTTCCCCTATGTCTGTCAAGTCTAGGAGCTGGAGGAACAATCCAAACAGGACGTCATCACTGCAGAAACTGTTGCCACATCTCAATGGCATGTCCCTAAACAAGCTCCCTTCTCCCCGAACAGATATATTTATTTTTTTGGAAGAGCTTCTGTGGGCAACGGAGGTGCTAAATGCTCCCCAAACACCCCTCCCTACAAGACATGCCTTGTCTTCTCCCATTCCACAGTGACACATGTAAATAGATACTCTTCCTTTACTCATGATGTTTGAAGAATAAATATAATGTCCTAGTTGACACAGACAGGCAAAAATGTGCTTACAATGATATGGTATGAAATTCAGTAGGCTAATATTTGGGAAAAGCCATCCTGAATAACGAAAAAACGCAGTGGTCTGCTTAATCCCACAGGTAGAATCCTCACAGCTACATACTTTGAACTTATAAGAGTATTTTATATTGCACTCTCGAAGGAGAAACACCTTGGGACAATTCTGAACACACAAAACCAATATCACCCTGATTTTTATGATAGTTGCAGTCCAAGAAATACCCATAATTCTATAAAATTCCAAAGTGTTTTGTATTTATATGTAAAATGGAGTTAGCTTAGATCTTTATTGTGTTACTACATCCAAATATCTATTAAAGTAACACTAAATCTTAGAGTTTTCTAAATATGCAATAATAAAGCATTCACAAAATTAAATGCCTTGAAACACTCAGATGGCATACCTGTATTTGAAAGGTATTTATTTTTCAGCCTCCATATTCTTTTTTTTTCTAAGATAGCATTTTTACAGAACTGTCTAACTCAGCTCTCTTTCCTTTTCTTCGTTTATAGAGGTAGCTTCTAGTGTAAAGTTGATGTTTTTAATCATTGTCACTATTGTCTTTGATTGAACTCAATGAACTACAATCGTTTTAATTTATTTCCATGAGCTTACGTATTCTCATTGCTTTAAACAACCACCAGATTCAAAGTTTGTCAAGATAAACACCAGGAGGTCAGAAGCATCAAGGTAGCCATCCTAGAAGGTCAGAGCTTCTTGGCCTCTTCCTTTCTCTCCATCTGCCCTGTGGCTTTGGATGATAACAAGGAGGACTGCCATAGGGAGGGGATTGTGCAGCCTCTCTATGATCCATGCTTCCGGCCAGAAGCTGGTAAGCCACAGCCAGAAAGGGAGAAGGAGAGGAATCTAATTTTAAATCAAATTTGAGTTCTTAATCAGCCCTATATATCTAAGTTTTGAGTTGTGACTGAAGGTTTTTCTTAGATGGGCAACTTTTTCTTACCCAAGATTTAGCTGAAGGGACGTGAATTTGTCTCAGCTTTCATTCCACAATAGGGAGAAATTAGATCTCCAAAATAATTACAAATTTAAAGGGATACCAGAATAAAAACCAGAAGTATTTCATGACTATATCATGTGAATCATACATGATTTAAATATAATTGTCTATATCCAATAAAATGTTTAAGTAGGATAACTCCTGGCATATCTTTTAAGAAGTCAAGACTCTGCGGATCTGTTGGCATCATATATTTAAAATAGCAATTAAAGCTGAGCCTAGTGACACAGTTCAGAGGCTGAGGCAAGATCAAGGTCAGCTTGAGCATCAGAATGAGTTTAAGTCCAGACTGGGCAACTTAGATGTTTATATGAAAATAAAGAAATAAAGTAAAAAGATTGCTTAGCATACACGAGGTCCTAGTTTCCATTCCATAGAGGAGGGCATTTATTATTTGTTTGTTTTGTTCTGTCATGGGTGTCTGGGGTTGTGTCATGATAAAGCAAAGACATCATTGGAGTTCTAGTATCATGTTCCGAAGTAAGCAGTGTTGCTTGGTGCTGGCTGTCTGTGAAGGCTGTCGTCTGAAGTGGTCCCAATGGGGAGAGATTTTGGTGGCACTGACAGGGGCCATCGTGGGATGTAAGGCACGCAATGAAAGCTGGGAAACAAAGATGCCTACTGTGAGCAACTACAAGAATGGAACTGTCATTTACTGAGACAGGGTAGCTGCAGGGGGGCAGGAACAGATTCCCTCTTGGTGTGTTGAGTTTGACATTATTATTAAACAGGGGTGTGGGAGTGGTAAGGTTTACAGAGTGGGACTGAGGGTTCTGGATATCCGGGAAGAGGGGCAGGCTGGAAATAGCTCAAGCGAACACTAATGGGTGGTATTGAAGCCACGGGACAAGATGGGATGGGCACAGCCATAGCTGAGTTTAGACAGGAAAACTTGTAGAGACACACCAACACCTCACTGCAGAGAAGAGTATGAGGTGCAGTCCAGGGGGCTGATGATAGTGAGCAAAGGAGTCGCCAATCAGCTCAGCTCTGTACTTTGTGGCCCACCATGCTCCTTCAGTGGCCTGTCCTCAGAGAAGGCTGCCTACCGAACACCTACTGTGGTGTGTTTTCTTGTGGCGTGTTTTCTTTAGCCACTCCGAAAACAGGAAGCAGAGATAACAAACTAGTTCCCTGCGCCTCCTGAAGCAAATCTTTTTCATATCAAGGCTTATCTGCCCGCGTCTCACAATATTGCTTCTCATCCCCAGGGAGGCAGATGTTTTTCAAACAGCCCATGTTTATTTATCATTTTGTTTATTTTAAAGTTACTGAACCTGAAAGGAAAGCTATCTTTCTAGATGTACGCCTGGAAAACAAGATGCAGGCACTGACTGCATTCAGCCATCTTAGGTTTACTTCATTTTCTTTTATCTTTTTAATTCCAAAACCCACTGATTAAAATTTAGCCAAGTAACCATAGATAATAGTAAACGCCACAGGCTCGTGGAAAATGGACCGTTATTATACAATCCCGCATCAAGCTTGTTGTGCACATGAAGGGAGACTGTATCTGCACCTGAAACTGTTGAAATGGAGTTTTTCTGTAGAAATGAATGTCATTATTGTCATTCAACTGAAAAAAAGAGAGGCTAATCCAGAGGAACTTTTAAAAAAATAGCTATAAAGTTATAAAAACAAAAGAATACAGACTTCTTCCTTTATCCAGGGATGCAGTTCTGCTCTGTTTTGCTTTCAGAGTAAGAGGAGGCCTGGCCCAGTTCCAGAGATGGAGTTGAGTGGCCGTGTCTGCACTGATAGGGAACCCGGTGCCAAAACGGTATGAAGCCTACAAGGAGAGGGCAGTGAGGTGGCAGAAGGCATCACACCAGAAGGAACCAGCTGAGTGAGCATGGATTTCCTTCTCAGAGGCTGCAAGAGAAGTAAAATCTTGGACGAAAAATTCTGTCTCTGGTAGAGCCAGTGTCCTGACAGTGAACAAGGGTCCATTAGTCCAGAGGCAGTAGGTGGCGATGTCTTTCTGCTGCCTTACAGAAACTCTGCTCAAACAAGTCTCTTTTGGGGATACAAGAAAGAGGCCCATGTGTGTCTGGGGCTCTCTCTCTCCACCCCCTCTCTCCTCTCCTCCATCTCCTGTGTGTATGTGTCTGTCTGTCTGTGTGTTTGTCTGCTTGTGTGGTGTGTATGTGTCTGTGTGTGAGTGTGTATGTGTTCATGTCTGTGTGTATATCTGTGTATGTGTGTGTGTATGTGTGTGTGTGTCTGTGTGTATAGTGTGTGTATATCTGTGTGTATCTGTGTGCCTATGTCTATGTGTGTGTGTGTATGTGTTACTGAAGCTGAACCCTAGAGCATCAGGCTAGCAAGCACTTTATAGCTAAGCTACACCTGGCTTTTTCTCACTTTTTAGTCTTTTTAGTTTGAAACAAGGCTTCACTGTGTTGCCCAAACCTACCTTTAAATTCACTTTGCAGACCAAAGTAATCTTGAATTTGCAGCCCTCCTGCTCCAGCCTGCTGAATAGCTGAGAATACAGGCATGTGACACCGGGCTCAGCTAAGAAAGGGGCCTTGAAGGAAGACCTCCTACTAACACAGTTGGGGGTTTGGGCACCTGTTATGTCCAGGGCTCCTGACGTGTGCTGAGAAAAACTGAGACTGCTAGCCAAGTCCTCAGTAAGCGATGATAGGGTAGGAGTGGGGGTTGGCTCTTAGGCAAAGCAGGTGGTGGCTGTTGGTTTCCTGTCGCCGCACTAACAGACTATCACAAGTGAAGTGACTCGTCATGGGGCGAGTGAAGTGCATCATCTTATCATTCCAGAGGCCCGAGATTGGACCCACGTCTCAGCGGAAGTGGTAGTTAATTTTATGTGTCAGCATAGCTGGACCAGGATGGACAGATATTATGTTGGATTCTTTTCTAGATGTTTCTGGGGAGGTGTTTGTTTTAAGTGTTAACTTGTTTTGTTATAATTCAAAATACTGGTTTTTGTTAATATGTATGTGTATATATATTTTTGTGTGTGTATATATACATATATATATGGCTATATATATACATATATACACACCCACTAGAATGTTCTTCCTCCCTCACTTTCCCCTTTGCCCCCCCCACCAAAGAGTCCCCCTTCTGCTTCCGTTCCCTGTACATATATGGAACTCACACACATATTTTGCACACCTGAACCAAAGCGACCTTCTGTCTTACTCCCTGCCCTCATTGCTCCCTTGTTTCCCTTTTCGGAAGTGACTTTGGGTGGGTGGGGGGAGATTCTCATTTGAATCAGTGGGCTCTAAATAAAAACAGATGGTCTTTCCAACCTGCAGGAAGGGATTCCCCACCGACCCACGCCCTTCCCTGAGCCTCCCTCAGATGGGAAGAAGGAAGGGAGATTCATTTACACAAAGGCCCATACTCTCTCTCGCTGCACTAAATGTGAGTTTCTCTGCTCGCTGTAAGCCCAGTATCAGCATTCCAGGCCAGCATTTCCCAGATCCCGTCCTGTGCCTTATCAGTACTGTGTGCTATAGTAAAAGGAGCTCTGTGAGTAGATAAAGGGGTGTGTACAAAGCTTCCGTGGAGCTTTGTACAGGTATAACCCCGTGTTTGGTTTAACCATTGCCTCCAATGCTAAGTCCTCGGCCTACTCAGTGCCTCCGTTTAATAGGTGAGCGCTAAGATCCATGGGACCTGCCCTGTGACTCTGTTCTACACAACTGGTGAGTAAAAGTCAAGACCTTAACTCAGGAAACCTTACTGCACAACTTATATTCCTAGGAATGACTTTCGAGCTTAGCTGTTTTTCTTTTTTTTTTTTTTTTTCCCACAACCAAGACAGGCGTGTGCCCACTGCCCACCCCGGTCCGACCAGAAATGTTAGCAAAGGAGGAAGGGCTACAGAGCTGTGTTTTATTTCCTTATCAGAAGCACCAGAGAATTCGAGTTCCCTGGTTGACGCTCAGGTTATAGTGGAGACAAACTTTCTCGGGACAGGGCAACGGCAGGACTGTCCCAAGACTGATTTACCTTACCAGCAACTCTCAGTAGCAAAGGTGAGACAGCACCACCTGGTGGGAAGCTTGGGTACTCTGCACTGAGGTCAATCTATCACTACAATCTGGATTTACTAGTTAAACTATTTGCCCGCAGCCTCATGAGATAGATGTGAAAGTTAAGGAGAGCGCGGATAAAATTTCAGGTGTGCAATTACAGTGCACAGTAAATTTTTTGGCAGAACTGTGCTCTATAGCCCAGCCTGGCTTAGAACTCACCATCCTCGTGGCCCAGTCCCTGCCCGCTGGCATTGTAGGCAAGCGCCATCACACCGGGATTTCTTACTATTATCATGAAGCACAGCCAATCTTTCCCCAAGGTTCTTCTGACCTCAACTACACTAATCCAGCCTCACTTACAGAGAGCAAAATCACTTTCCACTTCTACCCTGCCACTTCTTAGTTGGGCTGGCCCTGCTGGTTGGAGAAAGTTTGTGTATGTGTGTGTGGGGGGGGGGGGGATGGAGGAGGGGATGCTACCAAACTCCCAAAGCCTCAGTGAACAAAGGCCAGGGATGCTATCTGTGTTCAGAGTGTCTCTCAGAGGTGTCGGCTAAGACCCCTTCTCACTACCGGGGAGATGTTTTGCCTCTGTAAAAGCAAATGTGTGCTCTTCTTCAGTTCCCACAGTCCCAATGAGTAGAAATGTATTAGGAGCTGGGACGTGCCTGATACTTTTGCCATTTCCCCTCATTTTGAGTTTTCTCACTTAGATTAATAGAAAGCTGAGGTGAGAGCCTTGGGATCTTGTTGGTTTAGCCATTAGCTCCAAATATGAGCCCTTGATCCCCTGATGAAATTGTTTAGATTGTCTTCTGTAAGTCATTACTTGCAGAGGTTACAAAGAAAACACCGCCTTTCTGTTTCCAAATCTGACATTTTTTTTTTCTAAATGGTGTTTAAAATGTGCACAGGATAAAGAGGCTCAGGCTCCTCTAAACAAGAAACAAAATTATCGAAGTGCTGGTGGGGATTAAAAATAAAGTAGTTGAGGCCCAAGGAAATTTCATCCTTTAATTTCCAGTTCTAGACACTTCTGGCTACTGGACAAAGATAACACACCCAGGCTGAGAGCTTTAAAAGGAAGCTGCAGTGGCTTTCGAAGGGGGAACACCAAGTCAAGAGAGACAGTTGGAAAAGGGAACTGGACGTACCAGTGGGACGGTTCTGAAAATGCTGGAGCCTTCTGTGGACAACACCTCGCAATTTATGTTTGAGAGAATAGGCTGCAATAGTCTTGTGGGTAAAGGCAAAATAATTGGTGATTGGGTTTTTAAAGAACAAAACTTAAAAAGCAGCCGTGTAGTAACTGGCGAGTTTAGAGGCGGGAGCCTCGCACTGCAACAGGCTGTTTCTGTTGCATGGTATCTCATAGCATCTCCTTGCTGGGGGCCAGGGTTTGTGCCGTGCCCAGCTGTTTCTGTTACCTGATTTCTTGTAATTCCTTCTCACTGGAGGCCGAAGTTTGGATATTGATCAAAACGGTGCTTTTAATTACCGTTTGATTTTTAGAAAAATGAATGAATGGATTTTTTTAATATAACTTTAATCACTTGCTTCCACTTACTTGTCATGATACAGCAAATCAGAAAAGCCCAATGAAGGCATTATCTCATTCAAGAGGACAGAACTGTTCTCCCTTCTGGGAGTCTGCTTTTAAAGCTAGACCTTCTGTGTGCTAGGAAATGATGAAGTGAGGACAAATGATTGTTTTAGGGGAGCCAGAGAGGCATCAACTATTTTTCATGTCTTGTATTTAAGCACACTTCCTATACCCTGCTGCCCTCTCCAACTTCAGAAAAGCAAAACACCTCATGCCTCATGGTGGTTGACTTTTTTCAAGCTAATGGAGCTCTAATATTTTCAAGCTAGTGGAACAGTTAAGCTTGCCAGATCGTGTCAAGAAAGCACAAAGCTTTTGTTGGAGTTTTTAGTCCGTCCGCTGTCTCAGAAGGGAGCGCAGCATACAGTTTGCGGTAGAGCCAGCACGGACTCGATGCAAACAGCACTGAGCCTGCTTATATGGCACAAGCTAGGTGAACCCCCTTCAACTTCTCTGAGTTTCTGATTTCTCGTCTCTAAAATGAGGGAAATAATGTGCATTTCACGTGGTTGTCCAAAGGACTGAATGAGACATTTTAGTCTAAAGTATCTGACATACCCATACTGCACAGGCTTCAGATACATTGTTTTCCTTTCCATTTTCGCCTTCTTGTGCACATGTGCTGGCAACATCAATTTTTTTTTTTATATATGTGTAGAGCTGATGCTGTTAACTTTATTAAGCAAGCTTTTTCCATTAAGCATTTATCCTTATTCATTAGCTTGGAGGACTGGCACACAAAGATATTAAATTATTTACTCAAGTTTAATGAATGAAATTGAAAACCTTTTTTCCCCTGCTTAACATGAATATGCCCTTTTCAGTATGCAGAGCCTTGTTGCATTTATTCTGAAGCTATTGCTAAGTGCTTAGTTTGGAACACGGGATTAATGAGCCCAGAGACATGGCGCTGGTCACCATGACGACCAAACTTGCTTTCTTCTGTTCCAAGCTCAAACAACGGATGTAGCATGCTTAGTTCTGGCCTGTACTATATAGGAGAGTGTTCTTTTTCTTATATCTGACTCCCCTTTGTTGCTTCCAATTACTCCCTAATTCCCTTGGAAAAATAAATAAATAAAAAGAACATCCTTGGCTCGTTGGGGGCTTTGCTCCTTCAGCTATCTACCTAACCACCTTCCTGAATACATTTATCTCTCCCATCAGCTTCTGTAGATTCTGACACCTGAATCACATTTTCCTTCAGTACATAAATGCCTGTCATTCTTCTAGCATTTTTTTGGAGGGGGGGGGTGTCTATCAAATTCACAGACAGCTGACCAGGTGCCCTGGTCTCTCAGACTTTGGATCTCATTCTCTTCAGTGACTTTCCTTCCCCTCAACCCTTACTCACAGCTTGGACTGAGCCATGGCTGACTCTGGTTGGTCTCTGACAATCACTAACCCACACATCCAATTCTCTGACATAACCTTCTAGCTTTACATCTTGCTTGCTATTTGCTATAGCCATTCTGGGGATTTGTCCATTCTTCCTTACAATCTCCTTGCCCATTAGGAGTTCCTTGCCTTCATCCCATCTGCTTCAGATAGTCCTATGTCCTACCATTTCAGTCCCTCTCCTGCCAAAACTTTAAATTCCTTCCATTTACCACTGTATCCACCCACGCTAGGAGTGACAGCAACTCTGAGGGAAAGAGGCACAGGGTCAGTGCCTGCTCCCAAACAACTGAATGCCATCTAACAAGGACCACCCTGCGGCTGTAGCAGCATCAGAAACACAACTGGTACCATCACAAAGGTCAGCAGGAAAATTTAGCTGGCCCCTCTAGGCTGCCCAGCATTGGGCTTCCTAACTTATTTCCCCTGCTCTATAATCATTATCGTAAATGTCTTTCTCCTAGTCTTTAATCCTTGTTCTTTCCAGATCTCTTTATGACTTGATTTGCTTAGGAAATACCATGTAAATGGAGACTTCTTCAAACCCTGAAAACTCATATACCAACTTCCCATCCTCCCCCATCCCTTTTCATTCTAGGTCATGATAGAAGTGGGGTTTTCCTCTACAAAGGCAATCTTATTGCCTTCTCTAGATTTCATTTCCCAAACTTCTCAGAAACCTCACTCCATAAATTACTCCTCCCCTCTTTCTTGTCTTTAAACTTTGAACACTGAGTAGAATTCCCATCATTATTTTATGTTCCTATGTTACATTAAAACAAAAATAAAAATGTTTCTCTTGCCCCCTCCTCAAAGGTTTTGCTCACTCACATGAACAACCTCACTTTAGTCATCAGTGTCCTCCATTCTGTCTCTGTCTCTCAAGTTTTGCAATATTTAACAGTATCCATGACACCTGGTAGACAGAAATCTTTTAATCCCCAACTTACTATATCTCACAGTAACACTGAATATGTCTGACTTCTCTCTTCTGGCAAGAAAATTAATGCAATAACTCAAAAACTGAATACTTTTTTAGTAATGGTAATGGTATGGCTTTAGCCATACCCCAAGCACTAGCTCTTCTTCTGTGTTGAAGATTTAATATAGATTCAGCAGTCAACGTGCAAAATGCACTATACATTTTGCTATGCTGGGGGAAAAAAAAGGCATCTGTCCTCATGAAACTTACAAGTAGACATTAATCAAAGAACAAGTACACTCTAAGTATATAAGTACGATCAAAGAAACCTACAATGTCCTCTAAGAATATGACAGTGTCCTGTAGGATTCTAGAGCATAATGTGCAGCTTTAGTGGTGCTCATGGTAAATGGACTTCAGAATAGACGGCTCTTTTCAAACTCACACAGGAGCACCTTGTAGCTCTGCAAAAAAGAGCAGGCAATATCTTGTGCAGGTATGTTTACTATGTTTTCACTACCTGTGACCAAACGCTTAGAATACTGGCAATTTGACCTTGAGCCTATAGGAAGAAGCTAGTTAGATTTTTTCCTTTGGGGAATCTAACTAGGAAAACAACAAAACAAACAAAAACAAAAAAACCTCAATGACTAATCTAGCCAAATCCCTCAGAATGAGTGAAACTAATAATTTATAAACTTCACTTAGATTTCAGTCATTCCATCTTAGAGGCAGGGAGACAGCCAAGGATTCTAAGACAACGCACCAGTCTGCAGCAATCCTTTCAGAAAGCAAGCACAAAGGTAAAGATGGATAAGACAGGAAAGCAGCAGAAAACAGTCACAGGATCAAAGCTAGGGGACTAATTTGCAAAAGATGACATTAAAAAAAAAAAGCAGGAAAGAATTCATGCAGAAAAACCTTCAGGAACATTTCTCAAAATAGAGAAGTATTTCAGAGGTTAGAAGGACCCAGGAAAATAGGTAAAAACAAATGCATCTTGGCAAACCTTTGTGAAATTTCAGAACAGGGGTAAAGGGAAAAACCCTAAACTCTCCAGGAAAGAATATAATAGGTAAAGGCTGGAAAACAAAATGACTTCAGATTTTCCAGCTGCATCTTGAAAAGCAGAGGCTGTGGGGGAATGCTTCTATGATGCTAGAAGGAAGTAATTACGAATCTGGGTTTCTCTGTCAGTCAGGGAAGAACAAATGCACGGAGTGGCGTTTATGATAGCCAGCATGATTTCTCAGCTCTCTTGTAAAGGATATGTGGACAGCTCAAAAAAGCAACAAACTAAGATTTTAAAAGGCATGATTTGCAGAGGGTAGAATCTGACCTAAAGAGAGGAGGGAGACCAGGATGGAAAGGAAAGGTCCCGAGGGTAACAGCAACAGCAGTTGCCAGAGCTGAGGGGAACAAGACTGAAGGGACTCCCCCCGCCCGCTCGCAGAAAAATGAAGTTGATTAAAATACTCACTGAAGTTAAATACTTTTGTAAAAAAAATGAAACGTATAGCAAAATTAGGCTTAAAACATCAATGAGTACATAGAAATCTAAGCAAAAATGTGACAAGATAATGATAAGAAGGTATTGTTATCCTAGTTTGTAGCAAGCTTCCTGGTTATAATGAAACTGCACTGGGGACCTGTAGGAGCCTCCTCAAAAAAGGGATAAGACATATGTTTTAATCACGCCACTCTCATTTTGATTATCATAAAGCTTATATTGCTGCATCTTCTCCATTTTTACATATAAATAAATGATAGTTATTTGGCAATATATAAACACCAGAGCAATCAATCAAAGTAGAGAAGTAAAAGCAGTTGCCTTTAAGGGGAAAAATGGGTACTGCATTTTTCATAATGAACCTTGAATATAATATCTTAATGTTTTTCAAGGAACATATTCTTCCATCTTCTTTACCGCATACATCTTCTGGATTTCTGCAATTTCTTATGACATTATAAATCATCTTCTTATACTACAGTTGCTAACTGCTTGTTTCTGGTATGTAGAAATATAATTGACTTGTTAGCGAGATAATGAAGTTTAGTGAGATAATGAAGTTGCTGGACAACTGTTAAGCTCAATTATTAGTCCTAACCATTCAATGGTAGATTTTCTCAAGGTTTTTTTTTTCTTTCTTTCTTTCTTTTTTTTTTTTATGTAGACAAACATAATTGTAGGAAATAATGGCACGTTTCTCCCTTCATTTTGCTCTGCATACATTATTTCTTTCTCTTTCCTATTTCTGTTAAGACCCCCAGGACAGAGATGAAGAGATGTGGAGAAAGTGGCCTTGATTCTGAAGGGGATTTCTCTGAACATTCCACTACCACCGAGCCTGCTCAGCGCTGTGTCTTACAAGTATGACGTGATTCTCTCTAAGGGATACAACAGAACTGAAGAAACTGCTATCTAATGGAGATGAGATAGGGCTCCCCCCTCCCCCAGCTTATTTCAGTTCTTTCATTCAAGCATAGGAGACAAGGTGAAAGAAGGCAGCATTGGGAATTGAGAGATATTCTCCGCCATCTGACGGAGGAAGATCTCTGAGCAGGGGTGGTCACGAATGTCATTGCCTGTAACTCACTGTTTCTGTTTCTCTCTTGTGCAATGAGAAATTTTTCCCTTGTTTTTCATTTTTACTATTTTTATTAGTTACATATTTGTGCCATCACAGTGCACAGCACACATGTTGAGAGCAGTGAGGTGGGGAGGGAGAGGTCTGTCCAGCAGGTATGTGTCTGCTTCCTTATTAAAATGAGGGCCTCACTGGTGAGGGACTCTCCTAAGTGTGTGGCTTGTGTGGCTATGGCACTCAGGAGCAAGGGTTAGGCCTTTTAAAGGCAGGGTCTTCTTTACATTGCCCCTTTTGCCACATTCTGTTAGAAGCCATTTGAATTTTTATAGCTTTCCTCAGGTAACAAATTTTCCTCCTACTGTCGGGATTTGCTTCTTGTGGCGCAAAGCAAGCAGCATTCATTTTACTCTTAGGAAAGGGGATGGATGGAAATGCTGTATTGCTTAGGAGCCAGCCAAACCTGACCTGACTCTCTTTATTCATAGGGAAATGCAGGAACCAAAGAACAGACGTTTTTGCCGAGGTAAATAAGCCCTCTCAACTGATGAACGCCATTATACTAATACCAAAGGAAACAAAGGCCAGAAGATGGCGGCATTAAGTAGAAAGGCAAACAGAAAAATAGCAGGCAAAATCCAGCTTGGGACAAAGCCTGCTCTGCAACAGTGAAAAACAGGACAAAATCCTTTAAGAGAAAATTGCATGCAATTTTTTGGACTCAATTAGCCTTTTCCACAAAGAGCACTTTCCCACAAAGAGCCCATTAAATAGCAAATGAAATTACATCGGTTTTCAGTTGCCATGGCACTGGTTCTTCCTCTAATGGACTTCTCTGGCCTCTGAGTTTCATGTTAGCCTCCCTTATTTTCCTTGCCTGTGTCTGTCCAGTCATGTAGAGCTGTGTGTGACTTCTTCCCCAAAGTGCTTACCTACAAGCCCTCAGCTGAATTCCCCAGGGGTGGGGTGGGGGCGTGGGAGGGGGTGAAACGAGCCAGAATCTCCCTTTCATGAGCTGTGAATATGACAGTTTGCACAATGGATGACAGAGGGTGCAAGCTTCTGGAGCTGTCCTCCGACCAAGGACTGTTTAGCAGGTGCTGACCCCCTCGGCTGAGGACATAAAGATGCCCAGAGAAGCATGAAGGGTTCCTCAGACTCTCCTGGAATCTCCAGACTAGAGAACTGGCCCACAACCTGCTTTTCCTTCATCCAGAGAAATGGCGGGGGGGGGGGAGGTGGAAACCTCCATAATTATTTCATCTGCAATGTTGTTTTTCTATCAATTCCTACTTGCCAGATGCCCTACTTCCAAACAGGCAGAGAGAGCTAGAGCTGTAGCTCCGTCTGTGGAATGCCTGGCATGCATGAGACCCAGCGTTGCATAAACCCACACACCTGTAATAACAGAATCTGGGTGGTAGAGGCAGGGGAAACAGAAGTTTGAGATCATCCTCGATTCCATACCAAGTCAAAGGACAGCCTGGGGTTAAGTGGCCTAAAGCTAAGGGTCTTCATTTATAGATGTGCCTTTTAAAAAATTGTACTTAGGAGCCAGAGAGATAGTTCAACAGGTACATGATAAACCCACATGACTGAAGGAGACAACTGACTTTCAACAGTTGCCCTCTGATCTCTACACAATAACAATATGACACACATGTGGACACACGTGCTGTAAACAAAGGTTACAAAAAGTTACTTAGATACTGTTAAATATTAGCTAACATAACTTTTGATGAACAGCAGGTATTATTTCCTGACATGAATAGTCTCGTGTAATTTTTAGGAAAATATATGTATGCAGCTTACACCTTCCTATAATACTATATGCCTTATGTAACTTTTAGAAAAGTATTTCTATACAGTTTATACCTTACTATAAAAGGCTATTTAAAAAAAAAATAACAGTAACCAAGTCTGGTGTCCTATACCTGTAGCCCCAGCATTCAAGAGGCTGAGACAAGAACATTCCTACAAATTGGAGGCTACCTTAGGTTGAGTACTACCAGGTCAGTCAGAGCTACAGTGTGAGATCCTATGTAGATAGATAGATAGATAGATAGATAGATAATGATAGATAAATAGAACCTGTCCCTATAAATGAACACTTTTATCCATCATTTAATGTGTGCATGAGATGCAGACAGCATAACAAAATATTCTAAGAAGACAAGTATTCTTACAATTTTCAGTAATAGCACGTGATTCTGTGGTGGTGAAAGTAAATCAGAGATTTCTTAAGATTTCACATACATATACACATGTAGGTGTGTATGTGTAATATGGAAAGTTTGGAAATTTCAACATACAGTATACAAGCTGTATAATTTTGTACACAGATTGTATAATTATCTCCTTCCTCATCAGAACTTCTAACACGGAAGCATCAAGTGGATGTGTGACAGCTTTCTGAAAGGCCCGCAGGACGCGACCCGGCCCAGTCCCGAACTCAGGCTAAATGTGTTCAGCTTGCCGCTTCTGTTCTCTTTCTGTTCTCTGCGACCCTCTGAATAGCCTTGTTCGCAGTGGACAGCTAAAGCTTGAGTTTGAGGCTGGGAATAAATAGCAGCCCCAGATCAAAAGGCTTTTTGTCTAAACTGAATCTCTAATCACAGAAGTGGGATCTCTTAGAGCAAGATTGTGCAAGCAAGATTCCCTCCAGTGTGTATCTGCAGCTCCGGAGGAGCTCTCAGTAGCTGATGGAAGACTCATTCTTGGAGATGCAGTGCTTGCAAGGCAGCCCAGGCTCCAGTAGATGGCCCCACACCCACACTTATATGAGCGCACTCATTGGGCTTCGTGAATTATTTTAAAAGGAAGGGGAAGGGAAGGACTTGAAGTTGGTAGGGGAATATGTTAAGGGTAATTGGGGGAGGTTTAAAAGATGAAACTAGATGGTGGCAACATCGTATTCCATTCTATACGTGTGTGAAACTCTGAACATTTAAAAATAGGAAATGAGAGTGTGGGGGCGGAGCATTCGCTCCTTGCGTGTTCCAGTGTGTCCCTATCATCCTACTGTCCTTGCTTACAGACTAACAAATCCGTAATTTCTCATGATGCAAAATCTAAAGTGTAAGCTGATTAAGAGATCAGCAAAATCTAAACCGTATCTAATTCGAATAAGGAAGTAAATATAACATGTGGAGGTGTCCAGGACAGAGGGACTGAGTGAGTTTGTAACACGGATCCATTCCTCCCCTGCTCTGTCTCCCTCCCTTTCTGTCTCTCTGTCTCTCTCTGACTCTGTTTTTCTCTCTGACTCCCTGTCTCTCCCTCTTGTTCTCTCTGTCTCCCTGCCTCTTGCTCTTCTCTCACTGTCTCTCCCCCTTGCCCTCTCTCTTTCCTTCTTTTTCTTTTTCCCTCCCCTCCCCTTCCCTCCTCAGGAAGCCTCAGCCAGGCTGATGGGCCCCCTTCATTCCTACAGTTTGAAAAGCATCTTTTAGGACCTCAGTAGTCCTGCTACACTTCCTGAGTGAATTTATTCTTGCATTCTTCCCCACTCTCACAGAAATGTCTACCTCCCTTTCTCCCCCTCATTTTTAGCTGATGACTTCGCCTCAGCATAGTTGAGGGGAAGCACACCAGATTTGAATAGCCTCACCTTAGCATCGTCAAATCTGCTCTGGCACTGACAAACATCCTTTACGACACACTTACTAAAAATGGAGATATGTCCGGCCATCTGCAGAGTTCATCCTATCTCAACTTTGGAAAACTGGATCCTTGAAAGATTACTAAAGTAATCCCATTGTGTCCACCCTCAGCAATTTTCCCTTGGTGTCCCTGCAGTTCCCTTGGTGTCCCAGCTGTGGACAGTGTCCCCCTGTTCTTACACTGCTTCTCCAGGCAAACTGCTCTCAACAGCTATCAGCACATTTACTTCCCAACACCCATTTACACCCTCCCTAATCTAATCTGTCTTCAGCGCCACAACATCAAACTATTTTGTTGTTGTTGTTTTCTGGTTTGTTTAGTTTTGCTCTTTCGTTTTGTTGGTGTTGATCTGTCACCTAATTTCAGGAATAGCTCACTTAACTAATAGCTTTCCCTGTAGCTGGCTAGTCCCTGCTCCCTGAACTCACCTCCTTCTTAGTCCTGTGTTACCAAAAGCAGGCTCAGGTCCCCGATGCTCCCATCAGCACACTCCACCCTGTTTCACTGGCTCCTGCTTATGTTTTGGTTATTTGAATGTTAGCATTTATCATGACTTTGTCTAGATTCATTTTTTTTTATTTATGTTATTTATTCTTGTGTTTTTCAGATAATTTCTCAATGATTTTATAGCAGGAACTGGACTGAAACCTGTCATGTTCCTGTCTCAGTCTCCCATGTGATAGAACTCTTAAGTTCCAGAACTGCATGGGTTGGATCGCTAGTGAGATCTTGTATTGAAAAAGAGAGAGAGAGAAATGAGAGAAAGAAAGAAAGAAAGAAAGAAAGAAAGAAAGAAAGAAAGAAAGAAAGAAAGAAAGAAAGAAAGAGGAGAGCAGAGAAGAGAGGAGAGGAACAGGAGGGAATGAAATAGGAAAAGACAGGAAAAGGAGAGAGGGGGAGGGGTAGAAACAGATGATATGATTACATGCAAACTGCAGACAGCAGCTCATTCATTAAAAAGGAGAAATAGACATGAACTGATATTTCTCCAAAGTGAATATATGCCTGTCAGATAAACTTATGATGCTGAGAAAAGTCACATTAAAACCACAATGACACGATACTACATACTCATTAGAGAGCAAACCTTTTTCCTCTTAAAGTGTCTTTGCTTTAAGATAAAGTAAACTATTTTACTTGATCACTTTTGGCACGAATAGCAGGTGACTGGAGTTTTCATACATTGCTGGTGGAAATACAAAATGAGACAGCCACTTCGAGAAGCAGGGTTCACTGTGTTACAAATCTACCATCCTTCTCGTCTTCTTTCTTCTAGATATTTATTACAAGGAAATAAAAATATGTTCAGCTATAGGAATCTACATGCAAGTACTTATATTCATGGTTCTCCAAAGATGGTAAGTTCTTGACTGAGGCATGTATAAATTGCATTGCACGCCTGCATGAAATACTGCTTGACATCTAAAACAACTGATGGGCTCCGAGAAGTCTTTGCTATTTTATAAACTTTACATACCTAACATTGTATAAACTTTACTCTTAACATAGGTGCTGTTTTCTCCTTGATAGCACTTCCCCACTTTTATAATTAAAATTTATTTTGCTAATGCTATATCCCCTTCTGCTGAAATATGTACACATACACGGATATTCATGCATACACCTGCATATGCATATAAACCGGGAGAAGGAAGTGTTTTCTCTCTGTGACCACATTACCTGATGCATAGGAAAGGCTATGTAAGCATATTAAGTAACTGTGAAAATTAAACATTTCTTATACGTCCAAGTTAAGATTTCAATGTAATACCCACTGCATGACCTCAGCGGGAAACACCCGTACACTATAAAACCACCAGCAACAACATGTGTGAAAACCCATGCGCGTGTTGATCTTCATCCTCGATCAGGCTGAAGGTGCTGGAAATGCCTATCAAATCGCCTGAGGCAGGGAGGGGTGAGCAAGGCCCCAAACCACGTGTGTACTAACCCACCCAGCAAACCGCGAGTGTATGGACACGACACCGGCCACTCGCCAAGCCTCACCTCGCCACACCAACTGCTTGGCGCAGAGGATGGAGTCCGGCGTGGTGCAGAAGTGCAGAGCGGTGTGTCCGCTCAGGGAGTAGCAGTTGAGCTTGGCGCCGCGGTCGAGGAGAACCTTCACGCAGTCAAGGTTGGCCATTTCGCAAGCCACATGCAGAGGGGTCTTCCCGTTGGGTCGGCAGTTGATGGTGGCATCGTGGTCCAGCAGCACCACCAGGCACTCCACGTGACCAAGCAAGACTGAGAGGTGCAGGCCCGTTGCCCAGGAGGATTTCAGCTTGTAACTGGGCAACCAATAGCCTGGAAAAGGAAAAGAAGGGAACTTAGCTTGACTTTTCGCCCGGCGTGTCTCCACTTTGTGAGCATTTTTACAAGCTCTTTTACTGTGGCCGCAGTTCTAAAACTGAAGGGAAAATGGATCAGGCTACGTCACATGAGCCACTTTAAATATATATATATATATTTTATTTCAAGTCGTTTTAAGTTGATTTGAATCATTTCAAAGCTCTCAATTACAAGCTTATATTTTTTTCATGCCCATTCTTCATCCCCTCTACAACTTGTGATCTGATTGTTTTTTAATTTTTCACACCAATATTTTTGCCAGCCTGTTGGTTTATCCAGTATTTCTTTCTTAAAACAAAAAAAAAAATATTTGGACAAATCACAAAATTTTATCCAAGATTTTGTGTGGGGGGGGTGGTGGGAGGGGCTGAGATAGGGTTTCTCTGTAGCCTTGGCTGTCCTGGACTCCCTTTGTAGAACAGGCTGGCCTCAAACTCACAGAGATCCAGCTGCCTCTGTCTCCCTGAGTTTGGGATTACAGGTGTGTGCCATCACACCTGGCTTATCCAAGATTCTTTTAATGATCTACAAAATAATGATGAAGGAGAAAAAGCATAAACAAGAGAGGTCCACAAAGTATAAATTCTGTGCTTACACTACAACAGGATTTTAAAGTTGTTTTTTTGAACTTCCTAGCAGCCAAGACAACTGCACACACAGCTGTACCCACTGAATAGGCACAAATCATCAAGAGAATGGTTCCTAAAACTAAGATCTTAGACAAATTATTCTCATTACTTAAAACGGTGGGATTGGGAGGGGCCGAGGGAGAGGGCTACAGCTGGGATACAAAGTGAATAAACTGTAATCAATAAATAAATAAATTTTAAAAAAGAAAAAAAAAAGTTCTGTCTCCCTTCTGATTCAGCTGTTTGGAACAGGGTCTCACTGTGTAGTCCAGGTGGGCCTTGAACTCACAGCAATCCTCCTGCCTCAGCTTCTCTGGCACAGGGTCTACAGGAATACTCCACCATGCCCAGCCCATACTGACCTTCCATCATCACCATTCCTCAACTAGCAACTTGAAATGGCAGTTTCTCCACCTGCTTAGAAAGGAGCTAGTTCTGAGCCTGCAAACTGAAGTGTGTTTTGCCTGCTTATTAGTGGCACACATCAGGCACTGTCATGTTGCAAATGAGTGAAAACTCATGCCTGCAACTGCATAGGGGGAAAAATGATTCTGGAAAAAAATAATAAAACAAAACAGTAGAAAGCAGGCTAAGAAAACACCGTTTTTGAGGGAATGACCTACTAATGACTGGCTTAGCTTGAAACCCGTGCCATAAGAGAGAGCCCACCCGTGACACTGTTAATGATACTCTGCTCTACTTGCAGACAGGACCCTCACGTAACTGTCATTAGAGAGGTTTCACCCAGCAACGGATAGAAACAGATGCAGAGACTCACAGCTGGGGAATCCTATGGAAGACAGGGAGGAAGGGTTAAAGGAGCCACAGGGGAGAAAGGCACCACAAGAAAACTTACAGAATCGACTAATCTAGGCCCGTAGGGGCTCACAGAGACAGAACTGCCAACCAGAGAGCGTGCATGGGACGGACCTAGGCCCTCTGCACATATGTAACAGCTGTGCAGCTGGGTCTTCATGCGGGACTCCTAAAGCTGGAGCAGGGGCTGTCTCTGGCTACACTGCCTGCCTTTGGATCCCTTTCCCCTAACTGGGCTGCCTTGTCCAGCCTCAACAGAAGATGTACCTAATCTTACTGCGACTTGATATGCCAAGGCTGGTTCATATCCATGAGAGGCCTCCCATTTTCTGAGAAGAGGAGGAGGGATGGGTGTGGGGGAGGTGAGAGAGGGATTGGGAGGAGAGGATGGAAGGAAAGCTGTGATCAGGGTGTAAAGTAAATAAATATCTTAATAATAAAAGAAGAAGAAGCCGAGAAGAGAAGGCCATTTTGATGTAAAATCAGAGAAACAGATGCTGGCACTGGAGGGAAGATCATGATGCCCAAGCCTCTCATTTTCCGGATGAGAAGACTGCCTGCTAGAGCCACAAATCATCTGCTTCAGTCCAATCTCACGGACTGGGGCTATCTGCCGCGTGAGGCTTCCATCTGTATTTGACTTTGTGGAAACGGTATAGGTTTAGCGCTAAGCCTGCGGTACAGATTACAAAGAAGGGAGGCTGCTCCTGAATGTGTCTGCAGCATGCCACGTTGCTGGCATGGAAATGTGCCGTTTGCTTACGGTGCTTCCTCCTCCTAAACTTCCAGCAGCACCGAAAGAGTGCTCTTTGCACACTTATTACATCGACCACTCACTCACCCGTGGCTTTCAAAAAAGTCAGTTGCATCTCTGTGTGTGTGTCTCCCGTAATCATAGCTGTTAGCTGGGGAACCAGGCTCACAGACCACAGGATCCTGGAATTCTGCCAAGCCTAAAACAAAACTGCTTCTACAACCCACCTCCTCTTTGTAGAATCTGTGTATCTGGGAGAAAGGACCTTACTGCTGTCTCTAAGGGCCTGAGTGAGAACTGTGGAAGCCTTAGGGCTTGGGATATGCTTATGTCTGCTTTTAATCTTCACTTCAGAACTTTGGAGGTAGAGTTGGAGGTGGGGTTGGGAGGGTCTAGAGAGCAAAACAGGAAAGCCAGCTGCACTGAGCAGAGAAAAGAGCATCCTTAGCAAGATGTCCACCTTTAAAATGGGTGGAGCACAGGTTCTCCAGTAAGTAGGGAAATAAGTAGGCTCCATCTTACAGAGCACCAGATCTGAGGTCATATGAGCTCCTGAAACCAGAGCTGAGGCGTGCCCATTGATGTGCTATTTGTTCATGTTGATATGTCAAAAGATCAGAATTTTCTCCTGTGCACGTACCTACTCTCTCTCTCTCTCTCTCTCTCTCTCTCTCTCTCTCTCTCTCTCTCACTTACCAGTGGTTACAGCATGCTGGGAGCATGTGATTTGCTTCTAATACCTACCTTTAGAAGGCACTGCTCTATGCCCTTCTGCACAGGCCAGATGCCCCTGTACTGTGTGTTCAGACTGCAGAGAGGGGCAGGCTGGAGAGGAAGAGAAAGACTAAGGCCTTGTGGGGGTGGATGGGGGTCTCAAGAAGGTGCTGCCTCCCTCTGGGGAAAGCCACTCATCTTCCATACTTCCTTGTCTGCAAGCTGCAAACTCAGGTTCAGGAGAGCTTGGCTTCAGCAAAGGGCTCAACTGAAAAGAGGTTAAGACAGAAGCAGCGCCATCCCCTATGCTCAAACTCCACTCTGACCCCACCGACCAACCCACCCACCCAATCCAAGGTTCACACACAGGGATCTGTGCCATTCACGGCCCTGGCTGCCGTCCCTTACGCCATGATACATGTACTCTTGTATACACTTGGCATCTGCATGCAGGGCACTCAGAGTCCTGGCAGAGCCTCCATGAGGGATGCGTAGTGTGGGTAGGGGCAAAATAGTGGAACACGCCCTAGTTCATATAACCGCTGGTGGCAGAGGCCGAGCTCTCTACCACTTGCACGTGTCCCTGTGACTGGCTAACTTGTGGCGAAGCAGGAGAGCAGAGTAGGGGAATGTAATACTTTTTAAGCACCGTGGAACTTTCTTTCAGCAGTAGAAGGGAATAAAGTTACACCGTTTGCAGAAGATGGATAGGACTGGGAAGGATCACAGCAAGCAAGCCAGTCTCAGCAAGGCAGTGCTCTTCGCTCCCGTCTGTGCTCCCTAGATCCCATACAGTACCTCTGCATGTGTGTACAGACTGAGTGGACTAAAATGAAATAATTCAGGGGAACAAACGAGATTGATGGGACGAGGGAAGACAGGGAGGATGGGGCGGGGCCAGAGGAGAATATGTTTAGCCATATCATATGTACCTGTAAGAAAGAACTTTAAAAGTAACAACAACAACAAAAAAGTAACTCTCAAGTCTCAACTCTCAACTCTCAGTCTGCCCTAAATCTGCCAGAAGCTCCCTCCGGTGTGCAGTTCACCACACAGGGCTAAAAGTTCTAAAGAAACTTTTCCAGTTTTACCCTTACAAAACGATGCAGAACTAACTCCTGCGTGCGCACTTCCGGGCACTTCGTTTAAATCTGAAACTGAGGTCTGGGGTCGGCTAAGCCTGCAAGGTGAGGCAGGACGCCTCCTCACTCAAGAACCTTGAGTGAAGAGAAGGGTGAGAAGGGGAGAGAAGGGTGCTTGGACAGGGCGCACAGCTCTGGTTAAACGAAGGCTGAGCCCAGGTTCCGCAGCCATTATCAGCTCCCACACTGGAGAAGCCTCTGGCTGTCTCCAAAGCTTGCACACACTGCTCTGGCTGGATTAGCAGACATTTGCTCGGGCCATGTCCACGTATTTACACGGCCCTGAAAGATTATAGACACGAGCACAATTCTAGGCTACTACTTTAATAGCCGACATTCTCAGGATAATTCTCAGAGGTTCAAGGTGAATAGGAGAAACTTTTTCAAGCAAGTAGGAAAGGGGAATGCACCCCCCCACCCCCACCCCTCCAACCCTGGCCAGTAATAAAAAGAAAAACAAGAAAATTAATTTCTATAAAAAGAAAATTGGTTAGGAATAAAAAGCATTCAGGACATTTGGACATCAGCTGCTACATAGGAATACAGACTACCTGCCAGAAAGTTTTCAAATGAAATCATTGGTTATTTTAATTCACACACAACAAAAAAGTAGGATTGCCATGAAAAGGATCGGAAGAGGCTGTGGGCCATAAATGAAGTACTTAAAATGCACTACACTGATTAATAATGGCTCTTCGTTAACCTTGGTGACTAGGGAGTTTCGTACCAGAGACAGGTTTGACATTCTGCCTGTCTCAGGGAACCAGAGCTCATACATCTGCAGAAGAGCCGGGATGGAGAGCTGGGGAAAGCAGTAAAAATGGCCTTGAAGGCATTTGTCCATCCATGGTTCCAGTCCAGAGGCTGCCAGATGGAAAGAATATGACGGAAAGCCTTGGAGGTTTCTCCCTCATTTGATGTTACTGTTAATATTTTTCTACTTGTCTCAGAATAAACTATGTCACGACGTCCCTTAACTATTCAACTGTTAGTCACATCTGGTAGTGAAAACTTCCCTTGGGTATTCCTGACTTCTTTGTGTGGTTGTATTTTAAGGTGACTGTCTGGGGCTGTCCAGACGGCTGAGTTTGGCACTTGCCACCAAGCTTGAGACTTGCAGCTCACATGGTCGAAGGAGAAAATGTCTCCTGATCCACAACACACTGTGGCTCACTAGCGTGTGTGTGTGTGTGTGTGTGTGTGTGTGCGGGTGCGCGCCGAGAGTGCAGTAAATAATGCCTAAAATAAAGTGTTAGTTAGCTTTACAACGTGAGAAAAGTGGGTTTTTTTTTAATTAACAAGCTGGGATTTTATCTGATGATTTCATGATAAAGCTGAAAATAACAGGGTGTGGGGAAAGAGTGAGAGGTAACCTCAAGAATTAACTGTTGGGTGCTGGTAAACCCCTGGCACACACCGAGAATTACTGTGGAGAGCACTGTAGGTGCCGCCTTCACTGGAAGCTTCTCAAGGAGAAGAACTCAGAACAGCAAGGAGGAAGGAGGCATTAACCCAGCACCTCCACTTTGCACACCTCACAGAATGCATGCTGGCTTTTGTGGGGATCACCCTTCAACTACTGGGACACTTGGTGCACTTCTGATTAGAATCCAGGGATATTTACAGTCTAAGTTGATCTCTTTGCCAGTGGAGCTCCGACTTACTTTTCCAAACACACTCACAGGCCAGTCTTGACATGACATGGGATATTTAGGAACAAATTCAACCACTTTTGAATCCTGTGGAAAAGGATGTAGGGTGTTTCCGAGGAAACTAAGATGGGTTAAGGGTTGATTGCCGACCAGCTCGGCCCCCTGAGGATAATCAACTGTTGAATACTGGATCTCATTATCATTTACGTAAGAAAATTTCAAGGTGGCCATCATCTGTGGCCTGCTTTATACTCTGTTTCGTTTATTACATGAAAACCAAGTGAAGACACCCCCTCCCCAACTCTTTGAGAATAAACAGCTATGTTTCCTTTCTGAAACTGGATGAGGGGGATGAAGCTTCTTCACTTCTTTTATTTAAAAAAAAAAAAAAAAGAATCATGCCTCACAGGGGAGTTTTGCAGATGTTTCTTGTTCACTTTCAGGAGTTTCTTGTTCAGTTTAGGAGCCTTTCCACGTACTTAAAAAAAAAAAATCAGAGAGTAACATCCAAAAGTCTGCTTTTACTTAATTAAAAAAAAAAAAAAAAGAGTCTCAGAAACAGTACTCCAGCCACAGGTCCTTCAGGACCACGGGGAGGCGGCTCCCGTCCTTTAGACAAACTTCAGAAGGAGCTGAGTGACCAATTAACTACCCTGCTGTAGACCCCTCGGTCCACACTGTTCGGAGCATTCCTTTGTGAGGTGGGACACTGATACCTCCACTTAGATCTCCTTTATTGCACCAGAAGCCAGGCTTCTATTCACAGCCTCCGCTGTTGCCCTCCACAGTGAGAGAGCCGGTGGCACAGCTGGAGGCACCTTAGAAAAGTCTCCAGTAACTTTCAAGAAAGTGGGGTTTTTACCCTAGACTTGGGGCTGAGGCAGAGCCTGACATATTCGCAGTAAATGGAGAGTAAAGTGATTTCTAATACACAGTGTCCACATGTACACACTGGCTTCCTGGACAGCCCTGAAGACACAACCCGGAGTCCTGCTATTTCCAGATGGATATCTACGGAAGACTGGGGTTCTTTCCTCTCCTTGGGGGATGGTTTAAAATTCTGCCCCCAACTGAAAGCCACATCTCGTAGTCAGAATGCTAGGAAAACAGTCATTAGCATAAATAAAAAGTTAGTTCCACATGGACCATAGGAATTATCTTATTTTGACCAGAAGAATTTAAAATACAGTTTTTTTTTCTTTTTCTTTTTTCTTTTTATCTTTTTTCTTTCTTTTTTTTTTCCCTCATTTAGGGATTTTATGATTTTATGAGAAATAACAGAACTCAGTGCCAAGAGCCCACACCTCCAAGTTCCCTTTCTCAGAACTTCGGAGCCCTTTTGCCATCTGCAGGGTTTACCTGCCTGGGAAATAAGAAAAGGTGTTCTTTGCTACCCAGTGTCAAATAGATTAGCCACTGGCTTCAATCTGATTCCTATTGTATGTGGCACACATACAAGTTTCTTTAAAATATGCTTAACCTCCCCACAGTGTCACTAAATAAAGTCATAAGATGCCATCTAAGTACAATAGCATATAATTTTTCCTTCCACAGAATCCCTTCAACTTTGTAAAAAAAAAAAAAAAGATAATTAAAAAAAAAAAACAATTAGACTCCTTCCTTTTTCAGACAAAACAGCCGTGACAATTGATCATAAAGCACAAATCAAAAATGCAGTAACTGGCTTCAACTATTCTACACTACCCTCAGAACTGACAGGGAATTAGGTAGAAATAAATGCTATTAGCATTTGTATCTGGAAATTGGCGACAATCACGGTTTTGTATGAATAGAAATCAGATTTATAATCAGAACTTGAACAGAACTCCTCCCACCTCTATTCCCCGAGACTTTCCCACCCTATTTTCTTTAGGCAGAAGCAAAGGTGAACACAATATTTCTCTGCAGTATGCTCACCAGAGGGTCTAACTATTTAAGTTTTCCCATTAGCTAGTTGATTTGAGAAATCGGGATGAGTGTGCTAATCTAGTTCTGATTTATTAAGTAGGAATTTCAGGGGGAAAAAAAAAGATAATTTTCTGTTGTAATTGTTGTTTTCCTATTTTGGTACAAAGCGGATATACTGAATTTTAATTTTTCATTTTTTTTCATCTATTATTGTAGCCCAGCAGAAAAGAAAAAAAAATAGAAGTTAACTTTGTGGTATTTTGAGTTCGGCTTTTGTTTCTGCACTGAAACCCATTAAAATGATGCAGACCATGAAAGTGCCTATGGCATGGCTTTCTCCATTCATTAACTCTCTAAATGGAAAAGAGAGCCCCCTTTTTCATCCACACGGACATAGAGATGGTATATCTGTAAGTGGCTGTTAGCAAAGAATCAGCAGCCTGACCCCAGCAGCCTCACTGTCCCACGTACGACTCAGCAGTCTTTAACCAGAGTCGGAGAGATTTTCTTTATTCTATACCACCACAGCCACAAGAGAAGTCCTAAACACAGCGTGAATGACAAATGCAACTACCCAGGATCCCAAATTCCAAGCACAAGAATGGAAAAGAGCAATAAACAGAAATATACATAGACAGAAATCTGTGTGTATAACATGCAAACTAGCCCAAATGCACTCCAGCTTTAAAGAGAAGGAAAGATTTTTTAAAATTAGAAACAGTGTCTAAACAAAAACAAATACATACACACTAAGAACGATTGCTTTAAAGACAAAAACTGACCTACTGACCTAAAAATCCATGTTATATCGATCTCACAATTACACCTCTACATTTTTTTTTTTTTTACCTTGTTTGTAAGATGCCAAAACCATGTTCTCGTCTTCAACTTCAAACACCGTGTCCACATCTATTTGCCTCTGGATTAAAATAGCCTTCAGTTTTCCAAAGTCATTTGACTTTAGAGCCTCCAGGAAATTTTTCTTAACTAACTTGGCAGCTCCAGCCTTGCTGACAGGGGCAGTGCTGCCGTCCATGCTGTGCGCCTTGAGGAAGCTGAGCACTGATTTATCAGGAGAGCAGAACCCAGCACACAGGCAAGGCTGCAGAGTCCACAGACTGCCGGCTAATTTTATCCCAAAGTTATGCTGATCCGTTCTATTTATATAGGGATCATTTCAAACTTCAAAATACCCTCCCAGGCTGTCACTGGGCTTTCAGGTCCTTTAAACTAGAGCTACGTCAGCAGTCCCCTTCCGCAGTGCGTGGTGTCGAGGAGAGGAGAGGCTCCTGTGACACATTTCCGAGCATGAAGTGTCACAATTATTTCTTACAAGACCAAAGTGAAAGTGTAAGATTTAAAAAGCTCTTAATGCCCTTGATGTTTGCTCCCCAACAGAAACATCTGGTGCCTGGCTGGAGCTGCGGTGTCCTAGTCTCACTAACTAATAGCCAAAAATGAGAATTTGTTTCAGTTGTTGATACACGTGCTGCTGAAAACCTTTAATGATTTTGTGAAATGAGCCTGTAAAATCAAGCCTAATTATGCACATCTAAAAACAAACAGGAGCCTTGACAGTAACTTAGACTTGAAAATGTTCAATCTTATGAAAACGCAGGGAGGGAGCTTGCTAGGGGGAGGGGGACAACATTTTAGAGAAAAAAGAACCCAGGGAAACAAAACAGATGGGTGCAACAAGTGAACGAACTTCATTGAATCTTTTATATTTGATTTCTCATATCACTTAGGGAAAACTGTGTTTTGACAAATTACAAAGACAAATACAGACTTTATATGTGCTTGTTGGTTTGAAAAACATGGGAGTCAGGTATTTGGGGTTGGGTGAAAGAATAGTGTTTGTCCTCGAATAATGTGATGTAGAATCAATTGGCTGTCCAACATTTCCTCTTAAGGTGTGTGTGTGTCTGTGTGTGTGTGTGTGTGTCTATGTGTATGTCTGTGTGCTAGGGATCAAACCCAGGGTCTCACATAGCCCATGTTTTACTACTGAGCTCACTACATTCAATGTCTCTAAAACTTTAGTTTTAAAATAGTGCAGATATGTAAATAGGACAGAGAGCAAGAGATAGAAGGCACAGGGACAGAGAGAACATGGGAATCAAACGTAGCCCAAACTTAGGCAGCTGGGAATTTTAATGAACGATCTGCAGCTACCTACTGGTTTTTCATTATTTTGTTTTCTCAGTTCCTCTGTGTTAGTTTTTCAACAGAAAAAGTTAGGGAGAAAAATAAAAGACTCAATTTTATTTACTTATCACCATTAAAATTAGAAAACCAGTAGCTAAAATATAAATCAGCCACAATTTACATATTGTGGCAGTTCAGAAAATGATACAAAAATCCCTGTAGTGTTTGCAACTTGGAATTCTTTTTTTTTTAATTTTTAAATGGCTTATAAGTCTATGAGCATGATTGCAAATGAGCATGCCTTTTCACTTGATATACTGATGTGTAACATGAATACATAAAACTAGCAAGTCCTGAGCACAAAATTTATCCATTCATAATGATTTGTGTATTCCATACCCAGACCCACCACAGAGCCGTCGAAGACCACCAGAGGCCCCCACTCCACACTCTTAGTCAAAGTTCTCACCACCCCAAATCCGTTACCATGACTTAACTCTGAGGGTCAGCTTCACAGATGTTTGCGCGTTTACTGAGCCTTTTACAAGTCTACTAATGTAAATGTGTGTGTTGCGTATTTTCAAGTGATGGCAGCAACGAGAGCGTGAGAGCAAGAGCAGGGACCTCGGAAATGACACCGAGTGGGGCCGTGAGAAACATGGATGTGCCCAATTGGCCGCCCTTGGGTCTGGTCCCCAGTGTGTTATGGGACCTTTTGCTTTTATTGAACTTATACCAAGACTCTTATGAGAGGGTGGCCTCAACTTACCAGCCAATACCTTCTTGAGCAAATACCTACTGAATACTTTACTGTATGGCAGTCACTTGTCCAGGGCACTGGAAATATAGTACTGGGAAAATCACCCAAGAATCCCCACTGAAGTAGAGTTTTGTGTGTCAATTATTCAGGCTCTTCCCTATTGCCTGTCCCATGGACTTTGTTCACAAAGTCACAAACTATTTGAATTTCATATAGAACATCTGTTCTGTGACAATTTAATCGATCCGATCCCCTCTTACAGATAGCCCCCATTTTACTAGGCAATAAAGTAAAGGGCAATTTAACTTTATTCCAAACGGAAATACTTAATCTGACCCACATACGCAGCAGTTTCTTTAGATAAGTAGTCGCTATCCTAGGAATTAACTGTCTTTGAGAGAATTCTGCGTTTCCCTGTAAGGGGACTTCCAGGAAGACGTGATAAGTGCAGAAAAAATATTTAAAGCACTAATATTTAACAACCAGCATAGAAGACACTCTGCCATAAATTACCAGTATGGCTGGACCCATGTGAAGAATAAAGGAATGGGCTTATGAGAGTCCTCTGGACTCTCATCCCTAAGCTCCATGCTGGGCAGCAGAATGTCTCCAAGTCCCTGAGTCTTGGCTTTCTTCACATTCTAGCTTCTGCTGGCCCTGGGCATGGAGCACGTGGTTCCAGTCATTTCCCACCACCTATGGGGCACTCATTCCTTGTAGCCACATGGCTACTTCAATGCAATCAGTTATTGGCCAACTCAGAAATTGTGTGACTTCTCTCCAGAAACACCATCACTCCTTCCCACGCCTGCTTCTCCCACCCCACCCTTACCCCCACCCCATACTCGTGGGACCATAAAGAACAAATCTAGCACATTTGAAGAATGTGGGCAGGCCTGAGAACCGGTCGTTAACCCCGGGATCAACTTCTATCTCTGCCCATAATCCAGCAAGACTCCAGCTTTCCTGTCTCGAGAAGTCCAATCCGAGACACGTGAATTCCTCTGTGAGTTTTTCCTTTTCTCCCTGATCTCCCTCCAGAGATAGAGGGGTTATCATTGCTTTGTAGAAGCAATGCTATCAGTTAAGCCCCTGGGTCCTTGCTTTGCTTTAAAAAAAAAAAAAAAATTCCAAGTTTCTTCAGTAAAATGACTCATTTTCTTTAAAAAAAAAAAAATGGTTTTTTTTGTTGTTTCCACTATGGCTGCCACTACTGTTCTTTTGGTTCAGTTTGGTTGGTATTCTGAGGACCGAGTGCACAGCCTCATGCGTGCTAGGGTCACCTGAACTGTGCATGCTCCAACCTCCATACCCTCATTTTGTTAACACCTGATTTGCACAACTTTTGTCTACAAGTCCAGGTCCATATAGGTAAGAAATTAATGCATCTTTGTGAAATACTTGGAGAAAACAAAGGTTCTGTGAAGAAACATACAAAATTAAGAACATTCTTTCTACTATTCTGAGAGAAGCGAATTGTTGATTGATTTATCCAAGAACCAAAGAATAAAATTCAGAGATTGCTTGAATTAAAAACAAAGCAGTTTAATTAAATCACCCATCAAAGTCATTGTAACAGATCTGGAATATTGGGACTAATGAAAAAAGAAAAACCAATCTGAGACCCACTGTCATTATCTAGACTCAGCTTCAAAAAGCCATCCATCCCTTAGGCCACAGGAGACTGCGCTGTGAAGCGACCATGTTTCTTGCCATCTAGTCTGACCTGTCAGAACCCACCCCACCCCCACCCTGTCTCTCTTTGGCTTTTAAAAATGAAAACTCCATCCTAGACAATGTGTTTTTCATTAGTGTTTCACAACATGTCTCGGACATGTCCTCTGATCTTGGTAAGAAGAACTTCCTGACAGGACAATGATGGTGAGGCAAGTAGCCCCAAGACCCTCTTCTACTCCCTGGGGACCTGAGGCAGCAGGCACAAAGGCCCACGTGCATGTTTTCCCAATGCCTGTCTACCACACAAGCTACTCACAAATGGCTCCTTGCTTTATTATGTCATTTAAACATGGATTTAACACTACTGGGCTACAATCGTTAAATGCAGCCACAGAGACAGCGTAAGAAGCCAGACTCCTGAAATGTATCTTGACTTTCCAGCAGATGGGCTCACAACTGTGCACGCTGAGATGGCCTGATAAGCCCCCCTCCTCTGCCACACTTCTACATTGGCTGGCTGTGTACACTATCAGGGCACACTGCAACCGTTTGTTTGTCGTTGTTTTGTGTTTTTATGTTTAAGCTTTGTACAGAGATGCTTCGGCTGTAGGACGGGTTTCAGAGGAGATCTGGTCCAAAAGTTTTCTGTATCAACAGGTAAGTGTTTTAGCACTGTGATCGAAGTTACTGTTGTTATTTATAATGTAGATATCAGTAAAACTAAGAACCAACAGTTGTATGGAACTCAAACTTCAAATAAATGGCAGGTTGGGTTCCTTTTTTTTTTTTTTTTTTTTCCAACCTAACAAATAGTCCCAAAATATGTTGGCTTAAAGTAACCTTGTAACATGTAAACGTTTATAATCTCCCACAGGTCAGAGCACCACGGAAAGGCTTATCTTGGCTTGGTGGTGGTGTTTGAGACCTCTGAAGAAAGACTTGGAGGCCAGGGGTGAGCTGATCCCCTTTGGAACTCACTTTGTCCCTAAACAAACAAGTTAATGCTGACACACAGTCTCTCCAGGAGCCTCTTGGAACATCCTCCCACCGCGGTGTTTGGCTTCTTTTAGAATGAAGGGACATGAGAGAGTGAGCCTTGTTGGCTCTTTAGGGGCAGAGGTTTCTGAACAAAGAAACGGACTCTGAGCCCTTAGTTCTAGATAAGGAGATGCAAAGGAGCCATCCTCAGTCACAGGCCTCCATCTCTCCAAAGACATCCTTTTGCAGTAAAGTTTAAGACTGAGGCTGGTGGGTAACTTTTATTTCCTTTCTTCTGTTCCTTGAACCCAAACTCAGTACTCTCAAGGCTGTATGGACCAACATTCTGAAAGTTACTCTGTACCAGGCTTAATACATACTAGCTTCTCCGATATGGGAAATTGTGATGGATTTCTTTTTCCACAGAAAAGCAATAAAATTTCAAACCACTTTGGGATTTCAATTAGCTTTTCTGGGAGGCTGCTGGCCAAGGAAAATACTCCTTCATCTGGAGGCCCTGCAGCAGTTACAAGTAAACTTTGTAACAAAACATATCAGTTCCGCCTACTGAGCACACCAGCTCGTAAGAACAATTCCCAGACTTGTAAGAATCAAGGGGCCCAACGCACACAATGTGCTTTGTACTCAGACAAGCACTACAAAAAGAGTTGTGGACTGCCCTGGTCCCCAAGATCAGGGAACACCACGACTCTCCTGAGAAAGATTTACTGTCAAGGAGGATGAGACTGGCTCCAGATAGTGTCCCTAGCTCCTGTACGTCAAATATTCAAAACACAAAATTCAAAA